GCGAGTTTTACATTTGCCATTACAATTTATCAATGTGTGCACTTCATATTACATTCAACTGATACTCAAATTCTTCCTATACCACTATAGCATATCCACTGGCATTCTTCCCACAGAAGACACAATTTTATAACTCCTGTAGCTGAGGAGCTACAGGAGCTGTAAAATAATGTAGCTTCTGCAACTCTTTCAGATTACTGTACTCATGTTGCACAATGACAAGTGATTCCATTTTTGCAAATTGCAGAGAAAAAAAAAACACTCTCTATTGCAGAATTGCCATTTTTGTTTATAACACTTCCTACAGGCAGTAGACGACAACATATTTAAATGCAGATGGGAGATGAAACTCATACAATTGATAAAGTGTCCATTGCACACTTCTCTGGTAATAATTTACATAATTACAGTAATTTAAAATAATAGCATTCTTTTTGGAAGAATGCACCCAATATTTTAATGTATTTAATGCTTCAGTGAAACAAAATGTTACTAGCCTTAACAAACATCTCAAAAAGAGATTAAATCTTATTCAGTTAGTTTCCATTCTTAATTTTAATTTATTACATTTTTCAACTATTTTATGAAAGAAAATAGAATGTATGATCATTATTATATAATATAATTTTAAAATCAAAATGAAACTGCTTAATAGTTTTGAAAAAGACAGCTTCACAAAATTTGGAAAATTCTAAATCAGTGAATTAAACAATTATAATATTAGAGAGGTTGAGGCTGAGGTTTAAAATGTGAAAACGTGTACATCGGACGTTTAGCGCCGCTTTCCTGTAAGCCTAGAAGTTTGACAATGGTGTTTGGATAGTCAGTGGAAACATGCTTGACATTCCAAACACTATTGTCAAACTTCTAGGCTTATAGGAAAGCAGCGTTGAATGCCCGGCATACATGCTTTCACGTTTAAAACTTCGGCCTCAACCTTGTTATTAAATATATATTACATAAGCTGTACTAAAATTTATATTTTGTTCCATTTGAAATGGAGAATTGTCAAGTAAATATGAATCATCTTAAATAATAACAGTTAATTTACTACTTTTTAATAATCTTAATAATAATAATTTATATAAATATGTTCACATATATATTTGACATTTAAATTCAATATGGTATCTATTCACATTTATTTATGCACTCATGTTTATCATATTGTAATCAATCTTTTACCTGTTTTGATATTTTAAGTTTGTAGTGTAAAACAAAAGAAAATTAAGACAAAATTTAAAAACTAAATCTATAGCAAATTACATATTTTTATGTTCTCTTCATATGCCATATCAGGTCACCCCAATGTCAGCGAACACCCGGTGCAGGTTAGCATGGATTAGTTTGTGCACCAAGTGATGTCCTGGGGGAAGTTAGTACCAGAATGGTTCCCCCATTGCCTTCTCTAGATATTCAACGTTTTCTTGAAATCCAAAACCAGCATCTCATCAATGTGTTTTTAATTAATGTTATTTGTTCCACCTTCTTACAACTGCACTTGCTTATAATATTTGTAATTATCATTTTCTTGTAAGACAAAACCAGTCAGTCCTATCTATGTATTTTATATTGTATTTGTGTAACTTGTAAATTTTCTTGTTTTATTAGTAAATGTGTCACAGGTGATTGTAAGCCCTTCCCAAACCTTTCCATTTTTTCTACCTTTTCTCTCCCTTCTCACTTCAATTTCCTAATCTACTACTACTACTACTTTTTTACCTTTTTATTATACAAGTACTCAGGGCTAATAAAGTCAGACAGCTCTCTGACACTATATTAAAAGAAAGAAAAAAAAAAAAAAAAAAAAAAAAGAACATTAAAGATGTGGTGAAGAGGCGACAGAATTCAGGGACAAAAACTTTTTGAGGCTTCTCAGAACCTCCTGTCGCATGGTGTATCTTTGGGTGGGCTACTACAATGTCGCGAGGTTTTTTTTTTGTGTGTATTGTTTTATATTATTCTTGTAATTTGTAAATGTTTTATCATTTCTTATTTGTTAATCTTAATTTTATTTTTTTCTATATAATATTTCAATTATATTTATTCAC